GCATTTGCTGCCACCTCAAAATACTTGATTACAGGCTTAACAGCATCTGGCCGTCCAAAATATCCGTGTTTTTTGTGCGATTGGGATTCACGATACGGAGAAGGTATTAAAGGAAGAAACCAGTACAAACAGCATAACTGGAATAGTCGCATTGGACGGAAATGGCCTAAAGACAATAGGCTACACGAAAGTCTTGTTCCTGAAATGAAAATTTTGTTGCCGTTGCTCCACATTAAACTTGGCATTGCTAAAAATTTTTTGAAATGTATCGCAAAAAGACCAGCAGTATTCAACCGCTTAAAAGACATTTTCCCAAGACTAAGTCACGCCAAAATTCAGGAAGGGGTTGTTAATGGTCCCGACATACGGAAACTAATGAGTCGTCAAGATTTTGACCAAGTTCTGACAGACCGAGAATTAAATGCATGGCTCGCATTGAAAGCAGTCATTAAAGGACTTTTGGGTAAAGAACGCAAAGACAACTACAGGCAATCTGTTGCAAACATGTTGGCAGCTTTCGATGAAATTGGGGTTAATATGTCGTACAAAATTCATCTCTTGCATCAGCATCTTGATCAACTCGCTCAACAGTTGCCAACTGAATCTGATAAGCAAGGCGAACGTTATCACCAAACTGCGCTTCCATTTGAAATAAGGTAACTATAGAGTGTGCATATTTTGAATTCCTAGATTTTTCTAATATCTTAGTTAGAGTGCACAATTTAAACATGTTAACGATTGAAGACTATTCATTTCAGGTACAGAGGAAAGAAATCTCCAGATGCAATACTCGTTGAAATTTGTTGGTGGTATAAAAACACCTTTGAAGAAGAGCAAGACGAGGAAAAAGAGGAAGAATGGGAAGACAAAGATGAAATTCCAGAATATCTGTTGGACGAAATTATCGACCTTTCTGATGATGACCAAGATATTAGAGAGAGCAGTGATGTTGATCCACAGCCGCCTGCTAAACGGCAACTGGCCAAATCATTAATTTAATTTTTTTACTTAAAACTTTTCATAACTAACATTTCAAAATTATATTTTTTTCCATATTTTTATAATTTATTTTTCAATGTTTCTTCAAAACTAACACTGAAAAAATTGGTACATAAGAAATGAGAAGTAAATTAATATTAAGCTGGAAAACGCAAGTTTTGTATTATGATTGTTTTCTTTTCAAAAGAAATTTATAGAAGAAACTGAGAAGCATATTATAGATCAAACAGAAAGCAAAAAATACTAAGTTTTGTGGAAAATATGTTCAAAAAGCATGAAAAATGAAATTTTACCAACATTTTGCTTCATAAGCACTACAAAAAATTTTCTAAATCAATTTTTTTTTTAATTTTAATTGTTGCACAGGTCTCTAGCAATAATTTAGCTTTAACAGATTGAAAAAATATCAATTAGTCGACGAGTTATAGCCAAAAAACCATATAAACAATATGCTGAAAATCGGCATTTGACTGCAAAGTTCGAAGGTCGATTAAAAAAAATTCGAACTAACATAAACAAACGCCGCAATACGGGTCTTCTAATTTAGCCTCTGTTTTCAAACCTTATTCTCAGAATCGAGCTAACTTTTGCTAACCTGAATTTGTTCCACAGCGTTACACAACATACAACGAATATACAGAAGAGCGAATTCCCCTACTAATTTGACTGTTTTATTCAATGTTCATGTTCCTCTTCGTACTGTAAAGGCTGTCAATCTGTCCATGTCCGCACAAGAAAGTGCGGTTAGCTATAAAAACACGTAACAAGCTATATGTGATATGGAGAAGAATAATGACAGATTTCGCCTGGTCCCAGTATAAAAAATCCCGAAACAAAGCTGCTGCAATTATTAGGCAATCAAAGAGCAAATATTGCACTGCCAAGTTACACCCGTCGCTTCCACCAAAATATCTATGGCGTAACTTAAAAAACTGTGACTTTGACCCTAGTGCATTAAATGATTTCTTCACCGCCGCCAGCAAAAGTAACCCAGGTCCTCAAACTCAATCAAAATTTTTTAGGAGAGAAATTTCAATTTGTGGGCGTTAGCGAAGGTGAAATTATCAAAGCAGTGTTGGGTATTAAGTCGAATGCTGCGGGTGACGATGGAATTCCACTGAAATTTGTCAGACTTGTGCTGCCGTATATTGTAGCTACGATTACTCATATAGTAAACCACTGCTTTAAAACTCCGTGTTTTCTCGCTGAGTGGAAAAAGGCTGTTATACTACCTGTTGCCAAAAAGAACATGGCTATGGATCCCAGCGATTATAGGTCGATAAGTATACCACCAGTGTTTGCAAAAGTATGTGAGTCTTTGTAGGCAGCGCAAATATCGTCATACATACATACAAATAAATTATTATCTCCGCTACAATCCGGCTTTGGACCGGAGCATAGCTGCTCCACAGCCATGATGAAAATACTTGACGACATAAGAATTCATTTTGATAACAATGACCAGACTCTCCTATGCCTATTAGATTTCTCCAAGACATTTGATATGGTCAATCATGACGTCCTTGCAAGAAACTTTGTAATTTTTTTGGCTTCTCAGATGAATCCATAAAACTTATGACGACCTCGAAGGAAGGTTACAAAAAGTGGTGGTGAATAATGCCTCCTTTAGCTTTAAAGCAGTCTTAGCGGGTGTCCCACAGGGCTCTGTCTTAGGACCTCTTTCGTTCAGTCTATTCATCAATGATGTGTTCTCTGTGTGTCAGTATGTCAATATGCATGCGTATGCTGACGATATCCAGGTGTACTTGTCCAGTCGTATTGGTCTAGTCGAAGATTTGTGTTTTAAGCTTAATAATTATTTGTCAGCAATACCGCAGTGGGCTAGTAATAAATGTCTGTGTCTAAATGCCTCTAAGTCCTTTGTGATGCCAATATGTAACAGTGTAGTATATGTTGAGGTTATCCCGAAATTAGTTACTGGTAGTAGTGCTCTTAAGTTTATAGACAACATTAAAAACTTGGGCTATGTAATAAACTGTAAACTAACGTGTTGCGATCATGTTAATAGTGTTGTGAGCAATGTCTATGTCATCTTACGAAGATTGAGAGTTTCAGCTGCATTTAGTCCAATGGAAACAACACGCAAGTTGGCAAGGCAACTCATTATACCCCTTATAACGTATTCTCAGCTCGTATATAGTAAGTGTGATTCAATTTCCTCTCACAAAATCAGTGTTTTATTTAACAATGTTACGCGCTATGTGTATGGTCTGAAGAAGTTCAGCCACATATATCTGTGGAAAAATAAGATTTTGGGGTGCAGTATCACAGATTATATTGCTGCTAGGAACTGTATATTTCTTTTTAAGCTTTTAGAATGGAAGTCACCAATGTACTTGCCTGAAAAACTTAAATTGACAAAATCTAGTAGGTGTCACAATCTGATCGTCCCGAAGTACACTTTACTGACAACGTCGAGATTGTTTTTCATCAACGCTGTGAGATTTTGGAATATAATTCCAGAATCTGTTAAGTCTGCTTCGAGTAGAGGTAACTACAAGGCCATAATACATAATTACTTTCAATCGTTGCAATGAGTACTAATTCTATACATCTCTTTTTCCTCTTTCATCTTTCACATCCCACTTATGTATCTCTTTCAATGCTTAAGCATATTATAAATTAGCATAAATTATTTTATTCTTAAATTAATATGTATTTGTCTATAATATCTGTGTTAGTGCTAAGATCAATTTACACCCTTATTCTAGAACCCAAATTTTCGTAATTCGTAATTCGTAGCTACGTTACGAAAAACCAAAAATCAACATGCTGCAACCCTTGCGGAAAAATGTGCAGCATTGCCAGGTATCAGTTGTTTTTCGAACTCAGCCGTATGAAGGAAAACAAAGTGGAAAGGAATTAAGAAAACACTCATCATGTGCTAGTTTATAGTAAAATTGATTGATTTTAAATATTTTGAAGAAACTTATGGATCCTGATGCATTTGCAGTTATAGCAGCGGAGTAAGAGCGTGCTATGGCAATGGACTCACAAAGGTATGCGGAGCTGCCCGGCATAGTAACCATGAGCGCATCTATGTCAGCTTCTGGTTGAATTGTTGAACAATCCAGAACTCCTCCTATGCCTGAAGAACTGGTTCCCAATCCAGTTAATTCAATAATAGCTTCTTCTTCGCTTAGGGATTATAACTCTTACTAAGTAGAATTCTCCTTTCTGTGTTGCCGGAGAAGAGGGGCTTCCGCATGTCAAAGGTAATAAATATTTCTTCTGCATATCACAGTATTTTTGCGCAGAACCCACATCGAAATTTGCAAAAAAGTGCGTAGTGCAAACCGAATTTATTAATAATTTGAAACATTTATTTTAAATAAAGGTTTAATCCTTTGATTACATGTGTGTGTTAAAGTTTTTGGATTCGGGTTATGCGTTTGAACACAACAACCGAAAATCATTGTACAAGTAACTAAACCGGACCCAATTTACTCGATAAGGGGCCACAAAGATTCTTTTTTTCTCATTTGTATAAAGTAGTGGATAAAAATATATGTATATGCGAAAGGCAAATTAATCTGTTTACATAAACACCACTAATATCTCCTGCAAACACACATCGATTTACATCTTTTATGTCGCCTCCGACACAGAATTGTTTTCGTACAAAATTACGCAAAAAAGCTTACTCGTTCGTTTTTAGGCATGCCATTGTTGCGAATTTCGAATGTTCGAAGATACGATTCGGATTGCAGCATACCATTCTTACGATTCGTAGCAAAATCCGAAAACGAAAGTGTTGCAGAATAGCGGTGTTAGTTAAGTTTAATTCACTGTAATGTGTAGTACGATTCCAAATTAAGTTGATGTACTTTAAAAGATTCATAAATATCTTACTCGTACAACCAGTTTTATGTTTAAATAAATACACACGCACCTTAAATTTGTCGCTTACAGCTCCATACAAATTTTAAGCGCAGTACGTATGCGTGTAAAAAAAAACACGCCTAATATTAAAGGTTAACAACTTCAGGTCAAGATTAGAAAACTGCGCTTTGAATGCTTTGCAGCTCTTACGAACACCTTTTAAGTGCAATAATAGTAACACCGGCACAAAAAAGAGGTATGTGTGTTTTAACCAGACCCACCTACCAACATGTAATTCGACCCGCTGAATACGATTCTGAGATCCGTTTGACTCGTACCCCCTCAAAACTTCGAGTAAATTGCAAAAAAAAAATTGCAAAAAATTCGACGTTCGTCATTTCTTTATAGAGTAGAATAAAAATGTTTAGAGGAATTGTTATTGTATATTTATTAATTATTATTTTCAAAAGTACCTGGTATTTACATTGTTATTTGTGATGTAAGCGTTCCTCAATCATACGGCCTTTTAAATACAATTAAAAAAGTTATTACTTTAAAATTTGTTAGTTTAATAACATGCGACTTTTACAATCAGTGTATTGTAAATTTTAAATAGTTTTATTCCATGGTATGTTTAAATACTTTCAGTTATTGAATTTTTACACACATTCATAAAAGTTATGACTTAATTCGAATCTCGGGATAAATCCCAGTATTCCGGGATTACTTAAAAAATATCTCGAAATGCCGGGATCACCATTTTTCTCATATTTTGGCATCCCTAGCTGCAACTCAATTTTAAAAAGTCTCCACTCGTCGGTATTTGTCTCTCGTCCGCTGCTTGCTACCTCTGCTGCTATTTCAAGTTTATTACTCTCATGATGGTCATGATGCAATAATACAAGGTGTTATCGGTTGGCAACTTCTCGCTCTAATTCCGCCATATTGACTGCTTTAGGTGAAACAGTGTTACTTCTTTAATAATTCTTTGCCTAATAATATAGTTGAATGTTTTTTATTTTTTCTCAGTATACACATTTTGTTTACTCAAAAAGGTATTATATCTTATTTTATATCATTTCGTTGCGAATATACTATAAAAAAGCAAATTTTGTTTAGAAGAAAATATGAAGTTTTATATTTTTCCCCCAAATGGGGATTCATTTCTTCCCGTTTTTCTTCTTATTCTACTGAGCTAAGGCAGTGTCAAATCGAGCTGCCACAACTGATGCCACCTTGTATTATTGCATCATGGTTATTGGTTGCAAACTGAATTTCGTTGGAAATTTTGTTGCTCTTGGTTATTGCTTGCAAACTGAATTTCGTTGGAAATTTTGTTACTCTTGGTAACGATTAGAGGTGGAGAAACATCGATGTTTGGTACCATCGATGAATTCGATATTTTAAAGCAAAACATCAATGTAACATCGATTGTTGTGAAAAATAGGGCGTTTAAAGGCAAAATTAAGTTGGTACTTAAAGTCAGTTGTAGCGTTTTTGACAGATAACCCATTAAAAATTGCGTCAAGCCGCAAGTAGCTTAACTTAATTTTGACTATGTATACACCCGAATACGTTTTTGCAAATAAAATAAATCAAAGTACTGGCCGCAAAATCGTGCGTGGAATGCTGGAAGTGTCCAATTACAACGCGATTATGCGTTAATGCGGGTGGCTATAATAAAGTTATTATTTGGTGTGAAATGGTTTCGTTTTCGGCAGGTAAAATCTTTTTATTAGGAAAGAATTTATTGAAATTAAAAATATTGAAGAATCGAGAAATTTCCCTCATGCAAACCGCAATTCGGCCCGAAGATTTTAGTATCAGATACCGCTTTCACACGCACACACTCATACTACTCATCGGGACACATGTTGCTAGCAATATATGTTTCTGGCTTCTTATACGCTGTTGCCAGCATTTATGCAACATCATGGGTGTTTAGTATACCCACATACACACATGCACGAATTCGCACTTCCACTCAAGTACAGGCTGGCGTATCAGGTTGTTGCTGCATGTGTATTTGATGTACCGCTAGCAACAACAAATCACACGCTCATGCAGTTACAATTACACTGTGGAACAAATTCAGGTTTGCAAAAGTTAGGTCGATTCTGAGAGCGAGGGGTGAAAATAGAGGCTAAATTAGAAGACCCGTATCGCGGCGTTCGTTTATGTTAGTTCGAATAGTCAAATGCCGATTTTCAGCATATTGATTATATGGTTTTTTGGCTATAACTCGTAGACTAATTGATATTTTTTCAATCTGTTAAAGCCAATTATTGCTAGAGACCTGTGCAACAATTAAAATTAAAAAAAAAAAACGATTGATTAAGAAAATTTTTGTAGTGCTTATGAAGCAAAATGTTGGAAACATTTTTTTTCATGCTTTTTAACATATTTTCCACAAAACTAAGTCTTTTTTGCTTTCTGTTTGATCTATAATATGCTTCTCAGTTTCTTCAATAAATTTCATGAAACATCAAAGGACCCTAGTCACACAAAAGCAATTGGATGCAATTGTTGCAATTTTGTGTTTGACTCAGAAAAAATCAGAACAACTGGCTTCATTTTTGAAAGGAAATAATTTGCTGGCGAAAGGTACCAAAGTAACAGCATATCGAAAACGCCAAAAAGAGTTAGAAAAGTTATTCAATTTGAATGATGCAAAAAATTTCGCTTATTGCAATGATATCGAAAAGTTAATGGAGACGATAGGGTTAACCTATAAAAAAGATGATTGGCGTTTATTCATCGATAGTTCAGTAATCAGCTTAAAAGGTGTGCTTTTGCACAAGACGAATAGAATGCCTTCTGTTCCAATTGCGTATAGCACTGACACTAGTGAAAATTTCGATAATTTGAAACACATTCTGGAAGTAGTCAAATATAGCGAACACCAGTGGTGCATTTGCTGCCACCTCAAAATACTTTCACTGATTACAGGCTTAACAGCATCTGGCCGTCCAAAATATCCGTGTTTTTTGTGCGATTGGGATTCACGATACGGAGAAGGTATTAAAGGAAGAAACCAGTACAAACAGCATAACTGGAATAGTCGCATTGGATGGAAATGGCCTAAAGACAATAGGCTTCAACAAAGTCTTGTTCCTGAAATGAAAATTTTGTTGCCGTTGCTCCACATTAAAATTGGCATTGCTAAAAATTTTTTGAAATGTATCGCAAAAAGACCAGCAGTATTCAACCGCTTAAACGACATTTTCCCAAGACTAAGTAACGCCAAAATTCAGGAAGGGGTTGTTATTGGTCCCGACATACGGAAACGAGTGAGTCGTCAAGATTTTGACCAAGTTCTGATAGACCGAGAATTAAATGCATGGCTCGCATTGAAAGCAGTCGTTAAAGGACTTTTGGGTAAAGAACGCAAAGGCAACTACAAGCAATCTGTTGCAAACATGTTGGCAGCTTTCGATGAAATTGGGGTTAATATGTCGTACAAAATTCATCTCTTGCATCAGCATCTTGATCAACTCGCTCAACAGTTGCCAACTGAATCTGATGAGCAAGGCGAACGTTATCACCAAACTGCGCTTCCATTTGAAATAAGGTAACTATAGAGTGTGCATATTTTGAATTCCTAGATTTTTCTAATATCTTNTTTTGCTTCATAAGCACTACAAAAATTTTCTAAATCAATTTTTTTAATTTAATTTTAATTGGTGCACAGGTCTCTAGCAATAATTTAGCTTTAACAGATTGAAAAAATATCAATTAGTCGACGAGTTATAGCCAAAAAACCATATAAACAATATGCTGAAAATCGGCATTTGACTGCAAAGTTCGAAGGTCGATTAAAAAAAATTCGAACTAACATAAACAAACGCCGCAATACGGGTCTTCTAATTTAGCCTCTGTTTTCAAACCTTACTCTCAGAATCGAGCTAACTTCTGCTAACCTGAATTTGTTCCACAGTGTTACACAACATACAACGAATATACAGAAGAGCGAATTCCCCTACTAATTTGACTGTTTTATTCAATGTTCATGTTCCCACCTACCAACATGTAATTCGACCCGCTGAATCCGATTCTGAGATCCGTTTGACTCGTACACGCTCAAAACTTCGAGTAAATTGCAAAAAAAAATTGCAAAAAATTCGACGTTCGTCATTTCTTTATAGAGTAGAATAAAAATTTTTAGAGGAATTGTTACTGTATATTTTTGTTTAGGTTTTTTTTTATTAATTATTATTTTCAAAAGTACCTGGTATTTGCATTGTTATTTGTGATGTAAGCGTTCCTCAATCATACGGCTTTTTAAATACAATTAAAAAAGTTATTACTTTAAAATTTGTTAGTTTAATAACATGTGACTTTTACAATCAGTGTATTGTAAATTTTAAATAGTTTTATTCCATGGTATGTTTAAATACTTTCAGTTATTGAATTTTTACACACATTCATAAAAGTTATGACTCAGTTCGAATCTCGGGATAAATCCTAGTATTCCGGGATTACTTAAAAAATATCCCGAAATGCCGGGATCACCATTTTTCTCATATTTTGGCATCCCTAGCTGCAACTCAATTTTAAAAAGTCTCCACTCGTCGGTATTTGTCTCTCGTCCGCTGCTCGCTACCTCTGCTGCTATTTCCAGTTTATTACTCTCGTTATTGGTCATGATGCAATAATACAAGGTGTTATCGGTTGGCAACTTCTCGCTCTAATTCCGCCATATTGACTGCCTTAGGTGAAACAGTGTTACTTCTTTAACAATTCTTTGCCTAATAATATAGTTGAATGTTTTTTATTTTTTCTCAGTATACACATTTTGTTTACCCAAAAAGGTATTATATCTTATTTTATATCATTTCGTTGCGAATATACTATAAAAAAGCAAATGTTGTTTAGAAGAAAATATGAAGTTTTATATTTTTCCCCCAAATGGGGACTCATTTCTTCCCGTTTTTCTTCTTATTCTACTGAGCTAAGGCAGTGTCAAATCGAGCTGCCACAACTGATGCCACCTTGTATTATTGCATCATGGTTATTGGTTGCAAACTGAATTTCGTTGGAAATTTTGTTGCTCTTGGTTATTGCTTGCAAACTGAATTTCGTTGGAAATTTTGTTACTCTTGGTAACGATTAGAGGTGGAGAAACATCGATGTTTGGTACCATCGATGAATTCGATTTTTTAAAGCAAAAAATCAATGTAACATTTGATTGTTTGAGGTTGTTGTGAAAAATAGGGCGTTTAAGGGCAAAATTAAGTTGGTACTTAAAGTCAGTTGTAGCGTTTTTGACAGATAGCCCATTAAAAATTGCGTCAAGCCTAAGTAGCTTAACTTAATTTTGACTATGTATACGCCCGAATACGTTTTTGCAAATAAAATAAATCAAAGTACTGGCCGCAAAATCGTGCGTGGAAAGCATGGAAGTGTCCAATTACAACGCGATTATGCGTTAATGCGGGTGGCTATAATAAAGTTATTATTTGGTGTGAAATGGTTTCGTTTTCGGCAGGTAAAATCTTTTTATTAGGAAGGAATTTATTGAAATTAAAAATATTGAAGAATCGAGAAAAGAAACGCAACAGACTAAAGGCGTGTGTGATATATAAAGACAGATTAATTTTTGGCGAATTTCATCATCTGTACCCGCAACTGCGCGGTAAAGAAATAAAATTTCATGAGTATACAAGAATGCAGATAAAAACACGTGACTACATATAAGAGAATATACATGATATTTCTAATCATAGCACAACAAACTTTCAGAGACCTATATCCGTCGAAGAGAAGCTTTTTTTAAACTTTGAGGTAATTAAAACATATATATTGAAATTTTATGAAAAGTTTAATTTTGCAGTTATTTATTTAAATTTTGAAACGTACATTCAAATGTGGGCTCTAGAGAAATTACCTACACATGAATTTGGAACCGTTTGTTCATAAACGCTGAATACAGGTGACTGGGGTACAGATAAGTCAGAAAAAACAGAATGACATAGTTCTGGAAGCTTCCATTTCCTGTAATAATATATCTTGGAATTTAGTCCTTACACGAAGCTGTCGAATCGGATCCATTTTTTTTCATGAATGGAAGAAGCGACCTCAAAAAAGTGAATTTTCATCTTCTGATGCTTCGAGTAAAGCCAGCTTTTTGGTTTCGATATCTAAAAGCCTCCGCTCAACGTCCTTTCCATCTTCATGATTGCCTTTTCTCTTTCGACGAACAGACGAAGACTTGGATGAAGGGCGTGTTTCAACGAAAATTTGTTCGGCGTCGTTTACTTCGGCATTTGACACTTTATTGTCTGTTTCAGTAGCATTAGTATTTTTTGCGATTGCTTCGGCATTTGCCACATTATCAGCTTCAGTTGCAGTAGTTGAATCTTCCAACAGTACCGACAAATTTCCATCTGTTTCTCTTGGGACAAATGTATCTCTAAGGAAAAGCAGGCTTTTGAAATTCTGCCACTTTCCATTATATATTGGTGCTTGCTCTTGTGAGGTGCCCGGTTTGCCTTTTGGAATTTTTTTAAATACTTTACTGAACTGGTATCGCAAATTTCGCCACTTCTTTTTAGCATCTTCTTCTGAAAATAAAAAAATATAAATTTCAGTTTTTTAGGTTATCTGTCAACAAGGATATCTTTTAGACAAATTGGATTCTTATTCAGGATATCGACGTCATCTATTGCTTCTAAAGAGGTTTGCAAGGCCATTTGGGAAACGCTTCAAAAGTTACATATGCCGGTAGCAACCATCGAACATTTTGAAAGGGTTTCAAAAGATTATTTTCAAAAGTGGAATATTCCCAATTGTTTGGGAAGTATCGACTGAAAGCACATAAGGCTCAAGTGTCCAACACAAATTTCTTTTCAATAGTGGTGTTGGCGATTGTCGATGCAAACTATCGTTTTTTAATGGTCGATGTTGAAGCATACGGAAAAGACAGCGACGCAGGTGTTTTCGCAAATTCAGCCATATTTGAAAGTATAAGTAATGGTAATTTAGCTTTACCAAGTGATAAGCTACTACCGAACTCCGAGCTTCAGGCTCCATTTGTGTTCGGAGGCGATGAAGCATTTCCCCTACGAACATACCTAATCAGGCCTTTCCCTGCAAGGCGACTTGAAAACAGTGTTGATATTTTAAGTACAATTGTACTTTTTCAGTACAATTCGTTTTAAAAAGTACAAAAGTACAATTTACCGATTTTAAGTACAATTTTAACATCAGAAATACTTTTTGAACCTCTCTAATCTCCGCTAGCACTTTGATTCTTAGTCCTTTTAAATTCAAGTTCCTTACTTGATTTCATGTGTAATTTTAGTAGTTTGGAACTGTTAATTTTCAAAAAAGAAAAAATACAAATTTAGAAAGAGTTAATGTTTATTTAAAATAATAAAATGGAGTGGCGGATTCCAGGTGTTTTAAAATATGAATGCGCTTGGAATTTCGTGAAAAAAGTGTGCTTTTAAATGCCCAGTCAACAAAATTTCATTTCGCTTGCTAGAAATAAAAGGAGAACGCAAGCGAAATTTCAAGCAGGACATACCTATATTTCATATTCCAAAATGAAATTGTGAATTGCAATTTTAAATGTAAACGAGATTGTGAATGGCAACATTAGCGATGAGCGTTGTGGTGATTCCAATTTTTTTTATCACAGGTGGGTGAAATATCTGTATTGAAAAATCTAGTCATCTCATTTTATGTGATTGATTTTCACTAATATAAACTCATCTATCTACTGTATTAATTTTTCATCGTTATTGCCTTAATATTTGAATATACAACCCGCGACAAAGTGATATGGTCGCCCGGCTTGGGCTATTTATTTTATTATTCTTCAAATTAATTTTAATTATATTTTAATAAAAAAAAAGCTCATTGTCTGACAGAAACCATAAAAATAAATCCATAATTTGTAGAAATTTTGTGGGTAAACATTTTTTCACTTTCTTCCATATAACGAATGTTCGTATTTTATTTTATATAAATTTTTAATTTTGAAATTTGGGTTTATTTTTGTTAGACAATATACTATACTTTCCTAAAAAAAATAATTAAAATTTATTTGATAAAAATAGCTAAATAAAATTTCAAACTTTGTAAAAAATAGGAAAATTCAACAAAATTTTAAAACAACACCAAACTTTTTAATAAGAATTTTTAGAAAAAATCTAGGTGTGAAGTTTTATAGCCCATTAAATTCTAGCTTAAGAAATTGCAAGTTTGAAGTGGCTAAAAATTCGCGTTGATTGTTGATAATTTTTTTTGCGGATGGTGTTATTATTTGCTTCCATATAAAAAAAAAAATTGTCAAACATATTTTGAATGGGAGAAAATGCGTGACACCGCCAGGAAAAAAATTATCAAAAATTAACGCAATTCTTAGCCACTTGAAACTTGCACTTTCATGAGCTAGAATTCAGTGGGCTATAAAACTGCATACTTAGCTTTTTTCTAAAAGTTCTTATTTAAAAAGTTTGGTGTTGTTTTAAAATTTTGTTGAATTTTTCTATTCTTTTCACAAAGTTTGAGATTTTGACTTATGTGGTTTTTGTCAGATAGTAAGTTGTATTTTTATAAAAAAAAGTAAACATTAAACAAACAAAAGAAAAATAGCCGAAACTGGTCATAATGTCGTGTCCCTATTATTTTTCACATGACTTTATGTGAGCGTGTCCAACCCCGCCCTCTTTACATATTACAGTTATTACTCTTAACAGATCTTAGGATTTAAATTTTCGGACGCCCACGATTTGAAATGGTGGTAACTGTTGGTTGACATTTTAATGAAATGATTTCTTTCTTTTCGAGCCAATTGAAATGATTTTTCAAAACTGCTGATTTTTGGCGTTTGGATCTTTGTCAATACAATGCAAATTTTTTACATTTTAATTAATACATTGTAATTAATACATTTTTGCAACTCATACCGATCTGGCTCAAAACCCTCATATTCAATATCTTTCGCTATTGCACCCAGCACACTTTGAACTTTCTGGGAATGCGTACCGGAATTTTCACGCCAAATCTCAAAAACATGCAATTGAGAAAATTCGCAGTAGTAACTTGTGCTTAGAAACATTTTGAATTAGAAAATTAGATAAATAAAAAAATAAACATGAC